AGGGATTGCAGTGTAACAATGCCTCACTCGGGGGCAATACTTTCTCCTCCTTCTCTTTCTCTCTCTTTCTCTGGCAAGTGCATGTACCCTCTGGCAATTAAAAAAGAAAAGATACCTATTGACAATCAGAGTCTTCATACCAAAATCCACCCCCAGTCTCAGCCAGCCCAGGTCATGGGCACATGTACACTCACTGTGCTCAGGGAAGTCCTAGGATGTGAACTCAGGACCTTTCCCATAGGGTCCAGTTGTATAACTGTTACCACTGCACCAGCACCTGGCCCCAATGAGAGCTTTTAAAAATATCATGCCATTGTTCATTTTTTAAAAGAATTATTTATTTATTATCATTATTTTTCAATTTCACTAGAAAGAGACAGAGTGAAAGAGAGAGAAAGTGGGAATTCAAGCTGCTAAGCTCAGGACTCAAACTGTGGTCGACCCTGTGGGAGTCCAGCACCTTTAACCACAATGCCATCTGCAGGCCCCAACTCTCAGCTCTTTTTTAAAAATATATAACTTGGGCCTACAGGTGGTGTGGTGGTTAAGGTGCTGCACTTCCAAATGGCTGATCATGGTTCAAGTCACGGATCTGGTGGCTTGTTTTCTCACTTTTTCTTTCTCTCTCTCTGTCTCTGGTTAAATTAAAAAATAATAATAATAGCAAATGGAATTGAATAATTCTTTAAATATATATGTATGTATATATTATATAGATATATATATAACTAATTTTTAAAATTTATTTCATTTAGTCTTGACCGAAAGTGCATATGTGTACACAGAAGAAGAAAGTAAGAGAAGCATCCTTGACAGGGTCTCACCATACAGTGATCCCTTACCCTGGCCCTCCAGCCCGTCAGGATCTTAGTTGTGTAGGCACACACAGGCATATTTTAAGCCAGCCTGGGAATATGAACCTGCAGTTGGCCATGTACAGTTTAGTTTGCTCCTGACCATGCCACCATCCTGTTCCTTTTAAAAGTTTTTTTTTCCATTTAAGAAACAAGTAGAAAGAGAGAGAAATGGCACTCCCAACAGGGTCTTCATGCTGTCATCCACAGTCTCAGTTGGCCCAGCTCATGAGACAACACCCAAGGTGCTCAGGGAGGTCTTGGGATGCTAACCCAAGCCCGGTCCAATTGCATTACAAGCTGCCCCCACTCCCTTTTTTCAGATACTGTTTCACTGTTGTCCAGGCTAACTTGGAGCTCAAGAATCTCCTGCCTCAGCCTTCCTCAGTCTCTAGGATTGGAGACACACACCACCATGCCCAGCCTTTGGATCTCACGCAATTCCCAGACCTCCCCTGCCATCCCAGCCTGCACAGCACTGCTTCCCAGCTGCATACACTACTATAGCTGGACCAATCCAATAGCTATTTTTACTTGTCTCTGTGTTTGAAAGTTTTCTTAGTGTAAATATTTTTAAATTAATAGGTTGGTTTTTCATTCATGATAGAGAGTGTGTGCATATGCATGTGGAAGAGAGAAAGAAGCACCCTAAACAGGGTCTCATCACACTGTGATCCCCTTTCCCCAGCCCTCTAGTTCATCAGGATCTTGGACACCTGTGCAGGCAGAGCCTGTTTTCAAGCTTACCTGGGGCTCTGAATCTACAGTCACCAGGTACCTTCCGGCCCTGTGGTTCTGTATGCTATGGACTGTACCACCCGGGCTGTGCCAATAGACAACTTTCACAGCTGTTTACAGAAAAACTGAGCAGGTGGTACAGAATTCCCTTTCTCCAACTCTTTCTTTTCTTTCTTTTTTTAAAAAATAAGTATTTATTTGTTATAATTAATGAACCAATATTGATGCATTAACTAAAGTCCATAGGCTACACTAGGGTTTACTCTTTGTGTTGTATAGTCTATGGGTTTCTAGAAGTGCTTAGTCACTAATGGTTGTGGTATCACAAATTAAAGTTTTATTCCCCTAAAAACCGCCATGTTTCATCTCTTCATTCTCTCTCCTTTCTCCCCCTTGCAATCACAGGTCTTTTAATAAAGTCTCTATAGCTTCGCCTTTTTCTGAATGTCATGTACTTAGAATCATACAATATGTAGCCTTTTCAAGTCTGGGTTCTTCTACTAAGCAATATGCATTTAAGGTCTTTCTGTGACTTGATAATGAATGGCTTAATAATTAAATTCTTTACATCAGATATTGAACACACAGATTTTAAAAACCTAACAAGAGGGGCCAGAAGGTGGAGTGGTGTTTAAAGGTGCTGAACTCTCACATGGTCCAAGTCCTGGACCTGATGGCTTCCTTTCTCACTTTCCGTTTCTCTGTCTTTCTCTGGTCAAATTGGAAAATAATAATAAAAAATAAAGTTAAGGGGGCCAGCAGGTGGCATGGTGGTTAAGTGCTGGACATGCTCACATGGCTGACCACAGTTTGAGTCCTGGACCTGGTGGCTTGCTTTCTTACTTTCTCTCTCTCTCTCTCTTTCTCTGGTCAAATTAAAATAAATGAATGAATAAATAAAATTTAATATTTTTTAAATGAATAAAGTTAAAATAATCTTTAAAAAAAAAAAGAAGAAGAAACCTGGGGACTGGCAGGTGGTGTAGCAGTTAAAGACGCTAGATTCCCACATGGCCAACTGTGGTTCGAGTCCCAGACCTGGCAGCTTGCTTTCTCACTTTCCCTTTCTCTCCCTCTCTTTCTGTCTCTGTCTGATCAAATTAAAAAAATAATAATGACAAATGGAATTAGATAAATATTTTTTAAAAAGAAACCTAAGAAGATACTGCAATACACACACACGCACACACACACACAATTTGGAACTTGATTTAGCAAACCATTTATTTTTTGAGAGGTTTTTGCTATAGGGCACGTGTGCTCGCCTAAAAGACAGAGAGAGTCAGAGAGACAGAAAGCTAGAAATCACCCCCAGGGGGCTTTCTTTTCTTTCTTTTTTTAAAAAATAAGTATTTATTTGTTATAATTAATGAACCAATATTGATGCATTAACTAAAGTCCATAGGCTACACTAGGGTTTACTCTTTGTGTTGTATAGTCTATGGGTTTCTAGAAGTGCTTAGTCACTAATGGTTGTGGTATCACAAATTAAAGTTTTATTCCCCTAAAAACCGCCATGTTTCATCTCTTCATTCTCTCTCCTTTCTCCCCCTTGCAATCACAGGTCTTTTAATAAAGTCTCTATAGCTTCGCCTTTTTCTGAATGTCATGTACTTAGAATCATACAATATGTAGCCTTTTCAAGTCTGGGTTCTTCTACTAAGCAATATGCATTTAAGGTCTTTCTGTGACTTGATAATGAATGGCTTAATAATTAAATTCTTTACATCAGATATTGAACACACAGATTTTAAAAACCTAACAAGAGGGGCCAGAAGGTGGAGTGGTGTTTAAAGGTGCTGAACTCTCACATGGTCCAAGTCCTGGACCTGATGGCTTCCTTTCTCACTTTCCGTTTCTCTGTCTTTCTCTGGTCAAATTGGAAAATAATAATAAAAAATAAAGTTAAGGGGGCCAGCAGGTGGCATGGTGGTTAAGTGCTGGACATGCTCACATGGCTGACCACAGTTTGAGTCCTGGACCTGGTGGCTTGCTTTCTTACTTTCTCTCTCTCTCTCTCTTTCTCTGGTCAAATTAAAATAAATGAATGAATAAATAAAATTTAATATTTTTTAAATGAATAAAGTTAAAATAATCTTTAAAAAAAAAGAAGAAGAAACCTGGGGACTGGCAGGTGGTGTAGCAGTTAAAGACTGTAGATTCCCACATGGCCAACTGTGGTTCGAGTCCCAGACCTGGCAGCTTGCTTTCTCACTTTCCCTTTCTCTCCCTCTCTTTCTGTCTCTGTCTGATCAAATTAAAAAAATAATAATGACAAATGGAATTAGATAAATATTTTTTAAAAAGAAACCTAAGAAGATACTGCAATACACACACACGCACACACACACACAATTTGGAACTTGATTTAGCAAACCATTTATTTTTTGAGAGGTTTTTGCTATAGGGCACGTGTGCTCGCCTAAAAGACAGAGAGAGTCAGAGAGACAGAAAGCTAGAAATCACCCCCAGGGGGATGGCCACACCGCAATCCCTTCTCCTCCATTCTCCTCTCAGGATCTTGGGCATATGTGCACACACACATGGCATGAGTTTAAGACACTGGATCCAGGATTTGAACCACAGTCGACTACATGGGAATCTAGTGACATAGCCATTACACCAGCTGCTGGTCTCGTGCAAACCATTTCTTAAAAGACATTTTTAAAGGTAATTGGAGAAAATAGAATATTAGGTATTTTATATTATGAAGCTGTTATTAGCTTTGCTATATGTGATCATTGAATTGAAGTTATGTAAAACATGTAAACATGCTCCTATTTATTAGAAAGGAAAATAAAACCACTGACACATTTACAAGAAAAAGTTATCCAGCCGCTCTTGGAGATTTTCATGTGATTCAGACACATCGAAGTTCTTAGACATGTGAAGATGGAGCAGTGCAAGATGAATAAGAATATTTCTGTGTCCCTCCAACCGTTCCCATCTGGACCCTCTAATCTTTGTGCTTGGGCCTGAGTATGAGGATGCTAACCTAACCATCACCAAGCTGAAGTATGCCCATGCTCTGAATAAAAACTGGAACTGCCTAGTCAAAGCCTTCTTTCTGTACCATCCTAAGACCAAAGTCATTCCTTTCTTCCTGAAATTTATGGGCTTTTTTCCAGTTTGAAAAAGATCTTTTGGATCTGTGAGGAAACCAGAAAGATTTGTTTATGCTTGCCGTATCGTTAGGGTTACAATGAAAAGTCTTTCCAAAGGTACTTCAGACTTTACTACATTAAGAGATATTACTTGAAAATATTCAATTTAGAGTGAAAGGACTTTGAAACACCAGTTTGAAAGGACTAGGATTTTCTTAAAACGTTGGAGAAAGTAAACACTCGGAAAAGACGCAGGGTGGCGCTGCAGCCTTAGAAGTAGATGAAACAAAGCAATCAGCCCACCTTCCTTTGGCGAGATACCCAGCTTGAGAAGCAAGCAGGAAGAGGAGGCTTTCTAAGGCGGTCGCTACTCGGAAATTGGGGCTCTAGGACTGACCACTTATCCCAGTATCTACCAGCTACTGGGAGATTGAGTCGGCGACAACGTGAGACTGAATCCGGTCAAGTTTGCTGGAAGACCAGAAAGCGATGGCGGCTGGAGAGGGAAGGGCGCGCATTCTGAAACAAAGGCAAGTCCTGATATTCTTTGTTTTGCTGGGCATAGCTCAGGCTGGTTCCGAGCCTAGGCGCTATTCGGTGGCCGAGGAAACGGAGAGTGGCTCCTTTGTGGCCAATTTGTTAAAAGACCTGGGGCTGGAGGTAAGAGAACTAGCTGCGAGGGGGGCCCGGGTCGTTACCAAAGGAAAAAGAACGCGTTTGCTGTTGGATAGACAGACCGGAGATTTGTTCTTAAATGAGAAACTGGACCGGGAGGAGCTGTGCGGCCCCACCGAGCCCTGTGTAATGCCTTTCCAGGTGTTATTGGAAAACCCTTTGCAATTTTTTCAGGCTGAGCTACGGATTAGGGACATCAATGATCATTTCCCAGTTTTCCTAGACAAGGAAATAATTTTGAAAATTTCAGAAAGTATCCCTCCCGGATCTACTTTCCTAATAGAACGTGCTCAGGACTTGGACATAGGAAACAACAGCCTCCAAAATTACACAATCAGCCCCAATTCACACTTCCATCTTAATTTACAAGACAGCTCCGATGGCACAGTAGTACCACAGCTGGTGCTGGACAAAGCGCTGGATCGCGAGGAACAGCCAGAGATCAGTTTAACACTCACAGCGCTAGATGGCGGGACTCCACCCAGGTCTGGCTCCGCCCTGGTCCGCATTGAGGTCCTGGACATCAATGACAACGCCCCTGAGTTTGCAAAGCCTCTCTATGACATGCAGGTCCGCGAGGACAGCCCCATTGGATTCCTGGTAACTACGGTCTCTGCTAGGGATTTAGACATCGGTGCCTACGGGCAAATATCTTACGTGTTTTCTCAAGCCTCTGAAGACATTCGCAAAACCTTTAGAATAGATACAAAATCGGGAGAACTCCTTTTAACCCAGAAACTGGATTTCGAATCCATTCAGAGTTATACAGTAACTATCCAGGCTATAGATGGTGGGGGCCTTTCTGGAAGTTGCGTGGTGTTTATCCAAGTGATGGATTTAAATGACAACCCTCCAGAACTGACCATGTCCACACTCATCAGTCAGATTCCAGAAAACTCGCAGAACACTACAATCGCTGTGTTCAGTGTTTCGGATTCTGACTCAGGCGACAATGGAAGGATGATATGCTCCATCCAAGATGATCTTCCGTTCTTCCTGAAACAGTCTGTGGAGAATTTCTACACCTTGGTAACAGAAAGGCCGCTGGACAGAGAGAGCCAAGCCGAGTACAACATCACCATCACCGTCACAGACCTGGGGACACCCAGGCTGACCACAGAGCACAGCATAACAGTGCTGGTCTCCGACGTCAACGACAACGCCCCCGCCTTCACCCAGGCCTCCTACACCCTGCTGGTCCGCGAGAACAACAGCCCCGCCCTGCACATCGGAACCATCAGCGCCACAGACGCAGACGCGGGCACCAACGCCCAGGTCACCTACTCGCTGCTGCCGCCCCACGACCCGCAGCTGGCCCTGGCCTCGCTGGTGTCCATCAACGCCGACAACGGCCAGCTGTTCGCGCTCAGGTCGCTGGACTACGAGGCCCTGCGCGCCTTCGAGTTCGGCGTGCGCGCGGCAGACCGCGGCTCGCCCGCGCTCAGCAGCCAGGCGCTGGTGCGCGTGCTGGTGCTGGACGCCAACGACAACGCGCCCTTCGTGCTCTACCCGCTGCAGAACGGCTCTGCGCCCTGCACCGAGCTGGTGCCCAG